CTTTTGGCAATATAGTGTATATATATATATATATATATATATATATATATATATATATATATATATATAAAAAGCCAGATTTTTCCCAAGGTTTATTCATAACATGTTACTGTTTAACCAAAGTGTCTGTAATTTGTTTTGACTACTTTCCATTATTGTAAGTAAGGAGGAACGAACGCTGCCCAGATCAGAACAGGGCTGATTACCGTGCAATAAGGGTCGTATGATGAACTGTTCTATCTTTGCAAAGATTAAAAAATAAAGTACAGACTGAGTGAAATCCCTCCGTTTATTTAACTGGGGTGAATAGTTGAATATTTTACACTATTGCACTGGGTATCAAGTATAAAGAAACCTGATAAGACCTGATAAATGCAATTCCACTGGAATGAGACAAATAACTGATATTCATTATTATTATTATTATTCGGCATCTCTGTGGTTTTATTGGTCATTTGACTTCTAGTCTAGAAGGAACCAGTTTCCATACCAGTAGCTCCCTCTGGTTACATTAGAAGGCTTTCTGATGAAATAATGGCGCCCTGTTGGCTTGTTATGGCTCATTTGCTTTTGCTTTATTTGTTAGAAAACTCGTTTTCTGTATTTAACATCAGACCCCATGATTGGAGGGTTGATCTCACTGTAAGTTGTTCCTTCAGTACCTGAGCCTGAACCGTCTGCAGCTGTTTCTCCAGACCGCGTCGAGCTTCCTCGTCCTCCTCCTGCTGCTCCAGCAAGTTGTTCTTGTCTGCCTCCAGTTGACGGATCTGGCCGCTCAGGTTGAGCTTCTGACGAGTTTCTTCTTGCAGCAACTCCTGCCCAAACGAACAGCACCAGAAGGAAAAGGAGAAATGTTTCTGTTCACCTGACACTACAAGAGATTTTTATGGTTCAGGTCAGGAGGACAGAGGAGGGACTTTCTGTTTGGTTTCCTACCAGCATCATGAGGATCAGGAACATCAAACAGGTCCAATGTTGGAAGTTTGAAAAGCTCAAAGGTTGTGAAAACATTTAGAAACACCTCTGTTCTGTTTAATCTACCAGTGTGGAAATAGACAAAGTTCTGACTGGTCCTCCTGACCCGCTAACTTCCGCCTTAGACTCGCCTCCCACCTCAGAGTCCTGCAGTTTGCCGTTCAGAGTCTCCACTTCTTTCGCCAGCTTGACGCTCTTTTTCTCGGCCTCCTCCAGTAAGCAGGAAACGTTGTCCAGCTCCGTCTGTCAGATAAAGAGAGGAAAGCTGGGTTTAGGAGCGGCGAGCGGAGGTTTGGGACGCAGCCCTGCGGAGGCGTTTCTACCTGCAGTCTGAGGGAGCGCTCGCTCAGCTCTCCTTTGGCGCGCTCCATCTCAGTGGCTCTGGCCATAAACTCCTGCAGCTGCGCCTCCACTTTCTTTCGCTTGTACTCCGACTCCGTCTTCGTCTGTTGGAGGCTCTTCACTTCGCAGGCCAGCTCCTTGTTGTCGCTCTCCAGACACTGCTTGTTCTTCTCCAGGTTGGCTTTGAACTGCACAGAATGAAACCTTTCAGACCCGTTTCTGATGAGAGGAAGCATTCAGCGGCGTCCTGGTGGGACAAACTCACCCTCCTGGCCTGCTCCAGCTGGTCAGACAGTTCCTCCAGGACCTGGGCGTGCCGCTGCCTCATGTCCTGGATCTGAGCCTCATGGTTTTTGGACTCTTCTTCGATGGCTTTCTTCAGCTCTGCCACCTCCTGCTCTCGCTTTGACCTGGATTTCAGAACAAGGTAACAATGAAGGAAAAGTTTAGTCCAAATGAAGAGCTTTCAGATGGCAAAATGATGAAGACTTTTTTTAAGCTTTGCTTTGGAAAATGGTTTAAGTTGTGCACCTGAGTTCCTGCTGGGCAGCGGTGGTGTCCAGGGTGTCCTCCAGCTCCGTCTTCAGAGCCTCCAGCTCCTCACTCAGATCCCTCTTCAGCTTCTCAGCTTTGCTTCGACAAATCCTCTCCGACTCCAGGTCCTCCTGTAGCTCAGCCAGCTGTGCCTGCAGCTCCCTCACCTGCTTCAAGGCGTTGTTCTTCTGTGCCGCTTCCTCGTCGCTTCTGGTTAGAAGAAAACAAGTTATCAGCGTCAAATTCAACCGGTACAGAAATATAAAAATCTGACCTTTCTCCAGGCAGTGAATGCACCATCCCTAAGCTACCAGGTTACTGAAGGAGGAAGACTCTAAATGAACGGAAGTCGTCTATTTAATGATTTAAGAAGATAACAGAAAAGCTGAACGTTTATCCATCTGAGCTTTAAATCTCTGACTTATGGAACTTTTTGGGTTTTAAAATGTTTTTAAAAAGTTTTGATATTTCTCACAAACCAAGTCTGATGAGATCGGACCAGCTGAACATAAAGTTTCTGGGCTGCTCTTCATAATCTGACTCAAAGCTGACCTATTTTCTAAGTGCAAAGCATTTATTTGCTTTGCACTTAAAGAGCATAGAGTAATGAATTTTAATTTGCTGAAATTATCTCTTTTTAGATTAACGATTAAAAGAATCAATTGACAGATTATTTCTTATAATCAATAGCAGCAGACCTTCGATACACTAGAGGTCTCTGATGGTGGAACACTGATATAAG